ACACACACACACACACACACACACACACACACACACACACACACACACACACACACACAGAGAGAGATATCACGTCTTTCTATTCCCACAGGAACCTTTAATTGACTTCCATTCATTTTTTATTAATTTCTATAACCTAACCCCCTCCCTAAAACTAACACGCCTAAATTTACACCTTAGTTTTAAACATAAAACCCCAATAATGTTTGAACTTCTGGGGACTGGGCTTTGGGCCCCATAAGGGGCAGTGGGTCCTCACAGGATAGTGTATTTTTGAAAATGGGCCTTGCAAAGTAACAAATACAAAGACCCACCCACACACAGCTGTGTATATCATCAATACCCTCTCTCTTATTCAGAGGTGTAACGTTTTGTTGAAACCACTGCAACACATTTTAAAAAACAAATACCTACACAATTATCAACTGAACATTTTAATAAAACTTTAAAAATCTTTGTTCAACTTTTTTCCCCCTTTTTGTACAGCAGGTCCTGACTGTTGTGAGGACAAACCTTCTCAGTCCCAGATGGACCAGAACTGAACAAGGTGGTGGTCATAATGTTATGTCTGATTAGAGCATGTTGAATTTAGGATTATATTATTTAAGGGCAACTCTTTTAAATCATTTAAACCAGATTGAAGATGGCTGCCGCCAACTTTCAAAAACATAAAAAATGTTATAACTCTGTCAAATGTTCAGATATTTAGCTAAACTTTTGTGTGGTGGTAGCTGAAACTAATCCACATATTCTGAGCAAAAACATACATAAAAAAGATTGTGATGTCGTATGAAACTAGATACCGCATAGCAGTAACATAATGACCCCCGCACGCAGAAATGCACCAGAACTCAGAAGTCTTTATTCCTAATAAATGTCATGCTGTAGGTGCATCCCAAAATTGTAGTGGTTTGGATGGGGGTCTTTTTTTGGGGGGAGAGGTGGGTGGTGCATTGGTTGACCTGATGGATAGCCCCTCATCAGAGCTAAACAACAAAAGAAATCTGAAGCTCCTATGTTTAATAGTTTTTGAGCAATAACTCTTTTTGTAAGTCCAGGCACCCCTTTTTCAGGTAAATTGGGGGTCCGGAGTGGTGGGGGGCACTGATTGGTGGGCCTGATGGATARAGCAACATAAGAAATCTGAAGCTTCTATGTTGACCAGTTTCTGAGTTATAAGTATTTTTGCATGTCCTGACATCCCCTCTTTGAAAGGAGCCCCCTCCTCAAATATGGGGTCTATCATCAAACTGTTGGCTGGCTCACTGTAGGTCAGAGTCATCTACAGTCCTGCCAAATTTCATGTTGATCGGTGCAGCCGTTTTTGTGCTACGGTCGACCAAAAATCACAAAAAAATAAATAAACTAGACACCGCATAGCAGTACCATAATGACCCCCATACGCACAAATGCACCAGAACTCAGAAGTCTTTATTCCTAATAAATGTCATGTTACTAGGTGCATCCCAAAACTGTACGAAAACAATATGACTCCCGCTTACGCTTTGCGTGCGGGGGTCATAATAATGCATTATTTCTAACCCCAAACAAAGCAAAGACGCTGGCTTTTGGCACAACTTTCAGGCAAAGTTTACATCAGGAATCTGACCTCTAATCTGATGTTTAGTTCAGATCCTTTGATAAGCGTAAGCCTAACAGTCCTGAAGACAAACAGATCTCCGCCCATCGACTTGAACAGGCTGTTAACAGATCATCACCTCCAATCCTCTCACTGCATTTAACTGTGATCAACCCCACATCTGAATATTCACCCTCATCCATATTCTGTTGGTGTGGATGAGACAGGGCTTAGACCGATGCAAAGTGTGTGTTACGTGCTTTAAGTTTGAGTTATCTGTGAGACCCCACCAAACAGCAGAGTGCAGCCACAGTTGCTGTATTTAGCAGGTAACCACACCACCTGGGATTTAAACCTCTTAACCGTAAGAAGTTTAGAAGACGTTAATGCCTCACTCCTGCTCCATCCATGTGACGGACGCTGAAGTCAAGAGTATAACTAGAGGAAACCCAGCAGCACACTCAGAACTCACACTGCTCCAAATCAACCACAACAAATACTTATTGTTTCCTTATTGTCAATACTGCAAAGAAACAAGCATTTTTTCCTGTGTATGAATTAAAAATGAGAAATTTTAGTGTATTTTTATAACACATTTCATGCTGTGTACAACAAGTCAGCTCAGTTTGTTGAACAACTAAAACAGCTATTTGTATCAGTGACTTTCACTTCACCAGATCTCGTCTCCTTCCCACCCGTCATTTACTACTGCCCTTAATAAACTAAATGGATTGAACAGCCAATCAGGAAAGGACACCTCCTAAGTCGGGGGTTTTAAGAACAAGGAATTAAGAAGTGAATCTGTGGCGGTGAAAGCCTGGTGAATTCATTTTGAGCCTCGGAGCCGTTCCGTCTAACCAAGACAGGCCAGGAAGGCTCAGGTCCATCCTTTCCAATCGCCTTTCAGCACAATCAGTGCTGCTCCCAGTTTCTCTGAAGGTGCCCCCTGAGAGCTGTCAAAATTTCTATCATCGAGGATCTTGAAGCGGCGGAGGAAGAAATCATGGGTGCAGGAGCCAGTGCTGAGGACAAAAAGTCCAAGGAGCTGGAGAAGCAGCTCCAGGAGGATGCTGATAAGGAGGCTAAAACAGTCAAACTGCTGCTGCTCGGTAAGTGATCTTATGGAGTCTTATTGGATCAAGTCATACTTTTTTTTTCAGTTTTGTCTTTGTCGCAGGCTGCAAGTCATGCAAAACACTCAGAATGAGGTGTGTTTTTAAATCATTTGTTTGGTTTCTAATGGCTCATCAGACTAATTTGAACATCTCTGGCAGCCTGAACAAAACGAGTTGAAAAACGTGACTTCACATTTTAAACATGGAAGGTGCTTCATGTAACATTTAGACACTAAAACAACATACAAAACTCATAAGTATCATTATTCAAACAACTCACTGAGGGATTATTGACTTGTTTTCTTGCATAAGTCCTCATGGATCTTATCATCTGAGGTGATATTAAACCTCCTGCAGGCCTGATGACAACCCGTGAAGATGGAAATAGTACACTTTCCAAATAGATACTTTTTTTATTAGACAATCCTTTGTATTAGTTCAACAGAAAGACAATAAATCAGTTTAAATGTGTAAAATTTAACCTGTGGATCTGTGATGATTTAAAAACAAGATAGAAAGCAGATTTATATGATAGAACAATTTCCAAAACTAAACCTTTAAACACTGTTTGTTCAAATGGATTTTACTTTTTTACAGCTTTGATGATTTAAATTGAAGAAAAAGTCCCAGCTGATTGGTGGCTGSTGACTTCTTTGGTTCTAGAGGAAGGACAGAGGTTCTTAAAAGATCATAGTCTAAATGAATCTCAGGCCGGCAGAGATATGTCAATCCGATTAGCTAACAGGTTTACTGCAGATCCACTTGCTGAGGTTTTTGTTGACCCTCGACTCACTCACATCTACTGCGTGCAAAGTATTTCTGTAGAGTTTACACAGAAGAATGTCAAGTCCAAACTCACGCAGGTGACCCTAACAGAATCAGGACATTTACAGAGAAGCTGCTGTTTCCACCACTCATCATGACACAAACAAGAGAGGATGGAAAGTAAAACGCCTTCTTCTAGTTTAATGACTTTATAAAGAATTACAGGTATAAAAAAATGTCTGGAAGTCTCTGTGTTGCAGTTTATTTAACATCTGCTCACATATAAAGTTGTGTCAATTCACTAAAAATAATTTCACATAATTAATTCAACTTATTACGTTACATTAAACTTGTCTAGTTAGAAGATTCCCTCTGGAAAAGCATAAAAGGATCTTAAATGTTTCCGAAATTTTAATTTCTTGCACGTTTGGATTATTATCAATGAAAATGAAGATCAAACTTTTGATTTTTTTTGCCTTTTTATTCCTGATCAAAGGGTTTTAAWATGTCTATAGACAGTATATAAATAAAATAAAATGCCTGACTGCAGCTGGCTCTGCAGCTTAAACTCAGTGTTGCTCTGTGAGTGTTAACAACTGACTCCGACTCAGCTTACTGTAAACCTTCACACCGTTGCTTCTTCTGCTGCCACGTCACACAGGAGCCAAATAATCCCGATGTTGACCCACTGGTGAYGACAAGCAGGGGAAGACCTGCTGCAGGAGCTGCTGGATGAAGTCTTTAAATACTGGTTGAAGCTTTAAGTGGGTTCAGTGAGGAGCAGGATGGCCAGCTCTGACGTGATAAACTCCTGCTGGGCAGCTGTTGGTGGAGCAGGGATCTGCACCAAGGCTTTTCTCCTGCAGAACAACAACCAGATACTTTCAGACTGATTTGAAAAAAAAAAAAATTAAAGAGGTTGTCTGCTAAGATGCATAATTAGGAGAGAATTATAGAATCATAGAAAACCAATTCAGCAAACTCAGCAATAAAACATTTTTTTGAGCACGTTTTCACAAATCACTTGAAGCTGCAGGTCTGTGATGCACACACCAACCCAAACTAACATTTCTAGATTCAGTCTGTTTCAGTATTTATTCTAACAGTGTTTATTGCTCTGTGTGTAATAGATTTGAGCTTTATTAGTCAGATTTGGTAATTATTTTTATGCATGCATCACAGACTGTTTTAAATGTTTGCAAAGACGTGAACGCTTTGTCAAAATGCAAATAAATAAAACCTAATCAAAGGAGCAGAGTTGAAGGCTGACAGTTTGCTCTAATGAAACAAACAAAAGTAAACTGAACTTTTATGCTCGTTAAATAAAATTAGATGTGTCATAGCTAAAGTCTGAACTGGGAAATGTTCTTTGACTCTAAAAGCTGCTTGACTGCATGTTGGAGAATYGAGGCGCAGAYGTGTCATTACTAACRCTTGGTTTTTGTTTTCATCCAGGTGCTGGTGAGTCAGGGAAAAGCACCATTGTAAAACAGATGAAGTGAGTATTAAAATATTAAAATCTATTTATTTTGTGGCCTTCCTGCTCAGGTGTATATCCAGACTGATTTATCAGCTCTTGCTTTAGGTTGTCACTTAGTCTGGCAATAAAAATCAGGAACAAACCACACGGTGGCACTGTGAGCRCTGAATCAGACAAAATGCAGCAGTTCCTCTACTTTACTGAAAACTCTAAAAATTACTGTAATTGTGCAATATTTRTTATTTTTCATAGCCAAAACCTTTGTTGCAAAACTAAACTACTTTCCTCTTAATTTTTGCTACAGAATTCTCCATCAAGGTGGTTACACGAAAGAGGAGCAGTTGGAGTTTCGAGCAATCATCTACGGCAACATCCTGCAGTCTGCTCTGGCTATCATCAGAGGCATGGAGATGCTTGGAATCGACTTCGGCGCGTCCTCTGCACAGGTGTCGCCTTCTGCAGACGCTACAAGTTCAGGCTCACAGCTGACGATATGAGCGGTGCTGATGTTTGCTGTTTTGTGTTTGGCTCCACAGGAAGACGCACAGAAGCTGCAGAACCTGTCAGACTCCATCGAAGAGGGAACGATGCCCCCCGAGCTGGCTGATGTCATCAAGAAGCTGTGGAGGGACTCTGGTGTGCAGGCCGCCTACGAAAGAGCTGCTGAGTACCAGCTGAACGACTCTGCTGGCTAGTGAGTYCCAGGGCAGAGACAGAGTCCATTAGTCTCTTAGGGGGGAAAAATGACTGCAAATTAAGCTCGACTGCTGTTGTGTTTCAGCTACCTCGGTGAAATGGACAGAATCTGCCAGGCGGACTACCTCCCCACTGAGCAGGACGTGCTACGGTCTCGAGTCAAAACAACCGGTATCATTGAAGAACAGTTCTCCTGCAAAGAGCTGCACTTCAGGTAAAAGCACCTGGAAACATCCCGGAGCCGAGCCGCTTCTGGGCTCGTTCTGACGTTCTGTTGCGAACAGGATGTTCGATGTGGGAGGTCAGAGGTCAGAGAGGAAGAAGTGGATCCACTGTTTTGAGGGCGTGACCTGCATCATCTTCTGCGGAGCTCTCAGCGCGTACGACATGGTGCTCGTAGAGGATGATGAAGTGGTGAGTCGGGGCGAAGGCCACGTATTTAGGAAGCACTGGAAATGTGTCCCGGCAGTTTGTGATGCTCTCTCTGTTTGACCCCTGACCTTTTCAGAACCGTATGCACGAGTCCCTCCATCTATTCAACAGCATCTGCAACCACAGGTTCTTTGCTCTGACATCCATCGTGCTTTTCCTCAACAAGAAGGATCTCTTTGAAGAGAAGATCAAGAAAGTCCATCTGAGTATCTGTTTCCCCGACTACGACGGTAAGACCTGCTCAGTTATTTTAAAGAAAGCGTTTAGACCTTCCGACGTGAACTATTAATATCTTACCTGTTGTAGATAACTCTTTGTACGATTTCAAAAAAAACTTCATTCTGACCAAATGGATAATTTAGATAACAGTTAAAGATGAGTCCAAACCCTAATGTTTATTTTATTGACATAAACAGCTGAAAGAACTRTGACTGACCAAATGGCTTCACTGGAAAACAATACAACTAAAATATTTGAAATAAAAGAAAAACAAGAATTAAAGTACAATAAAACATGCAAATAAAAGCTCAGTAAAGATAGGATAAATAATAAAAAAACTTATACTGTTTAAATAAAAAGCCAAATTAGAAAGATGGATCTTTAGCAGAACTATAAAAGCCTGAAGTGTCCAAAGCTGAACAGGAAGTGCTTCAGCTAGCTGCTTCTGCTATTTGTAAGAGTCATAAAACTCCAGGTAAAGAACTGTTTTAAGGCGGCAGTAACCTATTGTAGTCTCAACCTCGAGTGGACGAGCTGTTAGCTTTTAGAATCAAACTGTTTCTCCAACCTGAGGTTGTTTAAAGTGCTRTCTGCGACAGGTAAGATGTTTATTTTTTATAACCTTTCCCTGTTTTAAAGCTTCAGGGACTTACTAGATTCAGTCTGACATTTAGTGAAAGCAATTTAAACCAGATTAGTAAATTTAAACCAGATTAGAAGAAAAATATTGTAAAAATATAAATTAAAGCACAAACTCAGATTTACTTGTCACCAAACTGTTCAGATACAACAAAAGTTAAACAAAAGGAGTACATCTGAAAACAGGGCCATGTTTAAAACAAACGACTTGGTTCTGATCAAGCTTTGCCCCTCTGACATCTTTTTAGGCTCCAACACGTACGAAGATGCCAGCAACTACATCAAGACACAATTCTTGGATCTGAACATGAAGAAGGGTCAGAAAGAAATCTACTCCCACTTGACCTGTGCCACAGACACGAAGAACGTCGAGATCGTGTTCAACGCCGTGACGGACATCATCATCAAAGAAAACCTTAAAGACTGCGGTCTCTTCTAAGCAGCTGCAGAGTTAAGAAAGGTACGAGGCCGACCGTGTCCTCTAGAAACTGTGTCAGAGTCTAAGCTGTAGGACCTGCACGAGGCAGACCCCTGCAAATTTAATTTAACTCTCTCCTACAGCAAAACTCAGTTCTGGTCATCCTGTGTTGCAAGAGCAACAACATCTGGCCATAGCATGAACAAATATGAACAGTTTAGACCGTTTGGGACTCATGAGGATGACAAAGATGATGATAAAAATGGAGCGATCTCTGTAGAAGACTGTTGCTTCTAAATTATGCACTTCAATTTTCTCACTGAGTTAATTTCCTGGTTAAATAAAGGAAATGAAGGATACTACTAATTTTCTGTTGGGTGAACTCACACAGCTGACAACCTGAGCAGTCGCACATCATCTGTTTTTCACCCGTTTCACCTTCTTCCCTTTGCAGAGAGCTCTTTTTTGACCCCGACACATTGGCATAAAGAAAAAAAAAGCGATGGAGCCCAGAGGACCCTCAGACTGTTGTGTTTATGCTGTCGTCTCCATGCCAAGCGGCGGTCCTCAAAAAGCTCCGACAGCATCAGCATCGACACCCCCTCCCTCACCCACGGCTGATTCYTGCAGCGCTCCGCACATCCGGTTTGATAGAAACAAACGCTGAAGTCACTACACCAACACTGAATTTCCACTTTTCTACAGGATAAACTGTTTTTCCCCCTCACATCTTAAGGCTTGAAGCTCCAAAGATGATGATTTTAATAACTAATTTAATTCAGTCAGGAGAAACAAATATCTGAATAGCTACATTGCAATCTTTTATTTGTTTTTCAGAACTCTAGTTTCTGTGGTTTTGRCATTTTAATCTGAAAAGTCGCTGAGCAAAATATCTCAAATAATCCTGGTACCCGCAGCATAATCCAAATTACAAACCCAATTGTGCATGTATCTAATCTAATCGCATTAGTGTTGAATTCACTTAACATTTTGTTGTGATAAATAACTCTCACCTCTCTGAACATGGTAGAGAAGCTTTGTAAATAAGAGTAGATAACTTATATTTGAAATAATAAATTACATGGAAGCGTATGAGAGAGACACTAGAGGGTTGATGCTTTATCGTGAAACATGACTGAAAAATCTGCTGTGTTCTTTCTTATAGTAGAGGCATGAAATAAAGATGCATTAACTTCACGTGTGTCCGTGTCGTGGCTGTAGAATCAGTCGGGTTGGAAACAGTATCCTACACGAAGAGGAAACAGCTTCACATTCAAGTTCACTACTGAGGGACAAAAACAGATTAAAACAATTATTCAGCTTGTCAAGCCTGCTCAGAGAGAGATTTGTAGAAAATGATGGCAACGAGGGAATAAACTCAGCGTAAACTAGCATGTYTACAGCTGGGAAGATTGACTTTAAACATAAAGAGGAAATCTTTTGTCTGCTCTCATTTCTAGGTTTCTACACTAGAGGTCACAACTGAAGTGTCATAAATTAAACTTTACCATTCAAGTTCAGCTAAATCAGTCTTAAAGGGATCCATGATTAGTTCTAACATTAGACTTTGTTTTATAAACATATTTTAACTGTAAAATAAAGACTGTAAAAATACTGTAGGGTGTTCAGTTTTATCATTTTTAAACTAAAAGTTTAAAAATATATTACATGGACGGAGACATTTTATTTACATCCTAAGAATTCTGGGTAAATGACGACATGGATAGGTCCTCGGTGCGAGGCTGCTAGCGAGCTATATCCACCCTGAAGGTTAATCTTGGACAATATCTGATGATCGACTCTTTTAAATGAAA